CAGATTTAGTCTGCAAATTTGGCACTAGGTTTTCTAGAAGCCAGTTCATATTGGGAAACAAGATCAGTGTCCTGATTTATAGTGTCCCTAAGGTAAAAACAAACTAATTGCACATGGGAAGCATAATTTGGCCTGATAGCAAGATCAGAGAGAGAGAGATTTATCCCTTGAGCCCTTACAAAGAGGACCCTATTGATTAACATCCTCAACAATGTCTTTACTATAAATAGGACAGTGGTTTCATAAGGATGTTGTTTTTTTTTTATAATGTCCTTCAATGTCAGCCAATTGCCTAATATTTAAGTGCATTTCCATAAGGGCCCAAAATTATTTGGTTTGGGGCTTGCTGCTCTGACTTTTCCAGGATAAAATTTCATAGTAGTGACTTAGTTGTAGAACCCTTCAGATGAAATCTTGTCAGGAATCCCCATGGATAATAGGAAAAGTGGAGTTGCAGTGGAGGGGTGTAACCTAGAGTGTTGCTAACATAGCTCTTTCCCTTCTCATTTTTCTGAAAGAGTCTCTATGGCCCCTCTGCAGAATGATTAGAGCCCTGAGCACATTTTAAAAACCACTTGTCCAGGAAAAACTGGTAGATTGCATAGCCTCAGTTTTCCACAAATAGATCTTCTGAACTGACTTTTGCTTTTGTCCTCTGTTAGTATATATCAACATTACCTTAAATTGTACCAATTTTAGAAACTCCTTATTTAGTACTATTTCCCTTATTCTCAGTTGCTGATCTTTCCTTCTACTTCATAAGTCAACTTACTGTCCTCTCTATAAAAGCAAAACAATACAACTTAACCTATATACATCAAAGAAAGAGGTGAGCCTTTTCTAATTTAATGCTCATTTCTCTACCTGTGTCCTTGGATCCCATTACTTCCTACCTCCTTTGGGACAGTATTCCATTATTTACCCCTGTGTTCTGGGTTCAGAACCTCTCCCTCCTGCTCCTTTTTTTATAATCTTAAAAAGGAAAATTCTTTGTCTACCCAGCAGCCTCTTTTCTCTACTAGCTACCTCCCTTTTCATCTCTCTTGGTACGCTAAGCTTGAAAAAGTAGCTTACGTTTGCTAAATCCACTTTGCTTCCCATTCTTTCCTATTTATTTAAAAAATTTATATGTATATAAAGAATATATATACAAAAGATATTTTATATATATATGAATATATATAAGGAATATAAAGAATACAGTATACACCTTTGTTTTTACTACCAAATTTAAGAAACAATATTATAATACAGTTGAAAGCCCCTATGTACTTTCTTTAATACACATCCTTCCTTTCCCTCAAAAGTAATCATTACCTAAATTTGATGATGATTTCAATACATTTCACTTTTACTGTATATCTACAGTTCCCTAAACAGTATATTGCTGAACTTTTCAACTTGAGTACCGTGAATGATTTACAAGTGTGCTGAGATGTTGATCCTCTCAGCCTTTGGAACAGGAGACATTATGACTAGACTTGTTCACGTAGCCCAGGGTACCACACACATGCTGCCATTGTTTGTGTGCCATGATATAAAAAAATTAGGAAACACTGATAGGTAACATTGTTTTGTATACATTTTGTTTTGTTTTTGTTTTGTTTTTTTTTGTATACATTTTTTTAACTTTATAGCAACAGCATACTGTATGTGTTCTTTGTTTTTTTTAGTCAATCTTATATTTGTGAGATTCATCCATTTTAATTCAGGTAGCAGTTTTTCATTTGTGTTTCATTAATGTATGGTATCCTATTATAGAAATATGTCACACGTCACCCATTTTCCTAATACTGGATGCTTTATTTAGGTAGTCTATAATTCCTGCTGTTACAAATAATGTTACTGGAAGGGGCGCCTGGGTGGCCCAGTCGTTAAGCATCTGCCTTCGGCTCAGGTCATGATCCCAGGGTCCTGGGATCGAGCCCCGCATCGGGCTCCCTGCTCCGCGGGAAGCCTGCTTCTCCCTCTCCCACTCCCCCTGCTTGTGTTCCCTCTCTCTCTGTCTCTCTCTCTGTCAAATAAATAAATAAAATCTTAAAAAAAAAAAAAAAAGAAAGAAACAAATAATGTTACTGGAAGATTCTTACATCTCCTTGTATGTTAGTGTTTCCCTAGGGAAGTATGCCTGAGAGAGAAACTGCTCAATTATAGGAAATGTTCAGCTTTCCAGATGTTGATGAAGGGTCAACCAAAGTAGCTATACTTATGAGCAGTTTATAAAACTTACCTTTATTCCCATCCCCTTTGAACTTTGGTATTTTTGGTTTTTTAAAGTTTTGCCATTCTGGAGATAGATGGTAGTTCTGGAGATAGCAGTGATGGTTGCATGACAAGGTGAATATACTTAATGCCACAGAACTGCACTTAACAGTGGTTAAAATGGTAAATTTTATGTAATGTATATTTGCCACAGCTTTTTAAAAAAAGCTGTACTAGTCTGATGGGCATGAAATCTCACTGTTTTTTGTTTTATCTGTTTTATTTGTTATTAGGCATCTTTATATTCTAAATGGGTTTTGTTTGTTTTATTTTTTTTTAATATTTTATTTATTTGTCAGAGCGCAAACACACGTGCACAAGCAGGGGGAGTGGCAGGCAGAGGAAGAAGCAGGCTCCCCACTGAGCAGGGAGCCCGATCCCAGGACCCTGGGATCATGACCTGAGCTGAAGGCAGATGCTTAACCGACTGAGCCACCCAGGCGTCCTAAATGTCTGTTAATGATTTTTTCCCCCTGAATTTCCTGTTCATATCTTTTTGCCCATTTTTCTGTTGAATTTTTTTTTTCTTACTGGTTCTTGGAAGTTTTTTTTTTTTTTTTTTTTTTTAAGATTTTATTTATTTATTTGACAGAGAGAGACACAGAGAGAGAGGGAACACAAGCAGGGGGAGTGAGAGAGAGAGAGAAGCAGGCTTCCCGCGGAGCAGGGAGCCCAATGCGGGGCTCGATCCCAGGACCCTGGGATCATGACCTGAGCCGAAGGCAGACGCTTAACGACTGAGCCACCCAGGTGCCCCGGGTTCTTGGAAGTTTTTAATTAAACGTTTTAGTTACTAATCTTTTGTTGATTATGTGTGTTGCATAAATTTTCTCTCAGTTTTTAGCCAGCTTTTCCTTTTTTAAAAAATTATGTCTTTTGATAAACAGAGCTTTTAATTTTAATGTGGTTGAACTTATTTTTTTCCTTTATAGTATCTACAGTCTGTTTTAGGAATCTTTCCTAAGACAGGGTCATAACGATATTCACCTGTATTTTTTTATTAAAGTTTTATTTTTCAAGATTTTATTTTTGAGAGAGATAGTGAGCATGAGTGGGGCGGGTGGTGGGGGGCACAGAGGGAGAAGCAGATTCCCTGCTGAGCAGGGAGTCTGATGCAGGACTCAATCCCAGGACCCTGGGATCATGACCTGAGCCAAAGGCAGACCCTTAACTGACTGAACCACCTAGGCGCCACTTTTTTCCCTATAACTTGTAAAGTTTGCTTTGCACATTTTGGTTTTTAATCTACTTGATTTGGTTTTTATGTTTGATGTGAAGTAGATACTCAGTTTTATCCTCCTATAACTAATCTTTGATTACACATTCTCTTTCTCCTCCACTGGTCTCTAGAGTCACCTCGTACATGTTTATATACATGCACAGGTCTATTGCTGGGCTCTCTGCCTATCAGTCAGTTGTTTGTCGTTGTATCAGTACTACACCTAAAGCTGTAGTAATAATATTACCTAGTTGGGCAATTCCTCTCTCCTCTGTTCTTCAGAACTGTTTAGCTATTCTTGGCTCTCTGCCTTTCTCTTGCAGTTTTAGAATTAGTTTGTCAAACTCCACAGTTGAAGTTTTGATTGGAAATGTAAGTTTGTCTTATCCAAATTTGGTGTGATTTTTGAAAGTGTGTAGTTGATGAAATTCAGAGAGCCCAAATCTCTATTTTATTTTTTTAAAAGAGAAAATTAATAACTAGTTCCCAATCCACCCAAAAACCTTAAATAATAAAAATACACCAAGATTTTCAACATAATATAAAATATTTAAAATCAATTACTTAGTTGTTTCGCACTTACTATAAACTCATTAGTATGTTTCTGGACAGAATTCAGTGATACTGGACAGTGTCAGATATTTCTTCTGTGCTACTCCAAACATGTACGAATTGTAATGTGAATAAATAATGAAAAAATATGCTAAAGATACATGATGAAGGCAAATAATTCTTACCTAATAACCAAGGTCATTTAAAAATGATAATTTACTGATTGAGGACTTGCCTGGGTGAGATTTGGTAGTGCAAATTGGGAGAGTTAAGTGGTGAGTCAGGGTGTGCGGGAAGGAGTTGGTAAAGGGGCTCACATTCAGATGCTGAGAGGTGATGGGCTGTTTTCTCTTCATGGCTCCTGAGACTCCAGAAATAGATGCTCTGAATCATTGTCCAAAGACTGCAGTTAAGCAACAAGATGAAAAAAATCTCAAAATAGCTACCTCCTTGTGTTCTCGTTACTTGTAGTTATACAGTGTGAGCATGAGATATGATCCTGTCAGTTAAATAGCTGAGACACAACTGCTGAGTGGACACAGCAGTCTCTCTGAGATTCATAAGCACTTTAAATGTGCACTCATGCAAATTCATTATAGTTTTTAAAAAAAAATTATTTGATTAGTGACTTCTGGATTTGAAAAGTACAAGTTGTAGTAAATACTCAGAAGCAAAAATTCCTCCAAGTGAGGAACTGTGGATGCATAGATTAATTTGGGGAGAGTTGATATCTTTGCAATATTTAGTCTTCTATACAACATGATTTTATTTCTTCCATTTATTTAGGTAGTTTTATAATTTCTTTATAAATGTAGATAGATAAATAGGAATGCAATTTATGTTTATATATTGCTTTTATTAATTTATCTGTAGATTCTTGGGTGTTGTACATACATAGTCATGTCTTCTGGGAATAATGAAATTTTGTTTCATCCTTTTGTTTAATTTTTTTTTCTTACTATGTCAGCTGTGCCTCCCTGGACGTTGTTAATGGAAGTGGTGATGATAAACATCCTGTCCCTTATTTTCCAGTAATTTCTAATAGGTTTCACCACTAGGTATGATGTTTGCTATCTCTTTTTAGTAGATATCTTTTATGAGATTAAAGAAGTTTTCTATAATAGTGTCATATAACAGTTGCTTGGTTGTGTAACTTAACTTTCACTTCTGTGTACCACAGTTTCTTCAGCTATATCATGGTGATAATGAATGTCTCTACCTCATGGGAAATTGTGAAGATAGAATAAGTATATGTAAAACACTTAAAACCATACCTGGCGTATAGTATAAGTACTGTGTGTTAGCTATTTTTACAGTTACAAATCCTTGTTTGCTGAGAGATTTTTTTGTTCTGAAATCATGAACAGGTATCGCAGTCTTACTCTATAACTCATATTTGACAGTCTCATTGGATTTTTTTAGGACATTAATTAGTATTTGTTGAGCTCGGTGGAGTGACGTGTTTATGCTATGACTAGAATTTAATTCGAATGACTTTGTAAGCCTTGGCATATATAATGGTAGTTCCCGTTTTACATTTTTCTCTGGATTGCCTTTTAGAAGCTCTGTTTGTGACTTAACCTTCCTGTGCATCCAAACATAAGCATACTGCAATGATTAAAGAATCTGTTACCTACTGCCAGGGAAATGTCTTTTTACACTTAGTGCAACTTCTCAGTGGAAGTAGATTACTTTGTCTATATTTTGGTATTTTACTAACAGATCAGTGGTCTGTTTATAACTCTGAGAGTAGATGAATAGTTACTAGGTGAACAAGCAGTTTGGGGGAATTTACCAATACAAGAAATTTTGTGTTGGGGGTTCTCTTTTGAAAATTCTCTAATGTTGAAAAGTCTGTGTAGGAACAAACTTGATAGAGTTATTTGTATACAGCTGGGACTGACTTTATGGACTGCTTTTCTGACTTGCTAAAAAGCTAAAGATTGACAAGCTCTTTCATATTGCATTATCCAGCTTGGCTTTTAACTCCAGGAGAACTGTGTTCACAAATTGATGCTCTATTCCTTTGGGGTTGGTATAGAAGCATTAAATTGTACTAAAATATTCATATGTGAGTGCATTTAGCTGAAAGCAATTGATGTTCTATTCCTAAGAGGGCCGAGAGAACTGCTGTATGGACCTGCAGTCCAGAAAACACCCTAAGCATGCTTCTTAAAGGTAATTATGTGGCCTGGATGATCAGAGTCCTGACGATGAAGTTTAAAATGACAAAGGAGAAGTTGTAGAATTTATAAACTGAGGTTAGGTAGTATAAATTGTTCAGTTGTGCAGTAAAAATCTTTTTGCTAAAAATTAGTTCTGATTGTATCTTTGCATTCAAATTGTAGCTTTGATTTCTTAGCTAATTTTTATTAGACTGGTTTCTTTAAACATTTATTCCAGAGGACCAGTATCAGTGAAGTTTTTTATTCATTTCCATTTTATATATAAGGTTGAAATTTTTAAGTTTTGGAGAGTCTTGAATTCTTTTTTCATATATAGCTGTTTAAAAGCATGCCACTGTTATGATAAGTTGACATGTCGTATAGGCAGTCCATCTAATTTCACAGCTGGCATGAAAGTCGATGAGCGTAGACAACAGATCTTTGTCTTAGCTATCTTTATGTGGTAACTGGAAAGGAATAAAACTACTCTAAATTTCTATTCTTATTCTAATTGTATTTTTGGTTCTTTCACATAAATGCTAATTTATTGTCTCATAAATAGCTTCAGATGTGATAAACATGCACATGAATGTCAGAGAACATGAGACACTGTGATAGAAGGAAATGTTTATTTAATGGATAATTGATCATTTAGCCTATGTACTTCAGTCTTTTTTTCACTTTAGGGCCAAAGATATGAAAACTTAAAATCTTGTACAAAAGAATATTTGAAAAACTTAGTCTAATTATTTTTATATATATAATTAATATATAATGTTATATATTAATATTAACTAAATTTAGTCTGAAAAGGAATTTGGAAAGTGGTATAGTGTTTGGGACAAAAGCGTGTATTCCATTTTCTTGAAGTGAGATTACTTAGAGGGTCTCTAGTTAGGTTGGGTGAATAGTAAATTTATTATTTTCTTATAGGCACTTTCCTTTTCCACATTACTAGCACCACTAAAATTCTTATAACTTTAGAAAGTACTAAAAGGAGTCTTTGTGTAACTTGGACTGAACTTCACAACTCTGGTCGCCTTTTTTTTTTTTAAGTAAACTTTACTTTTGAGAACAGTTTTGGCTTTACAGAAAATTTGCAAAGATACTCCAGAGAATTTCCATAAATCCTGTACTTGGTTTCCCCTATTTTTGTTGATATATTTTTTTAATGTTATATGAACTGTTTATTTTTGATAATTGTCAAAACCACAAAATTCTAGAACTTAAGTTTTTTGAAGGTGGAGAATTGTGTGAAGGCTCTGTCAAGGTGATAACTTTCTTTTTAAAGATTTTTTATTTATTTTTTGACAGAGAGATAGAGAGAGAGGGAACACAAGCAGGGGGAGTGGGAGAGGGAGAAGCAGGCTACCCGCTGAGCAGGGAGCCTGGTGCAGGGCTCTATCCCAGAACCTTGGGATCATGACCCAGGCTGAAGGCAGGTGCTTGACGACTGAGCCACCCAGGCGCCCCAAGGTGATAACTTTCTAATGACTTTTTTATTGTGGTAAAATCTAATAAAATTTGCCATTTTAACCATTTTTGAGTGTACAGTTCAGTGGCAGTAATTACATTAACAGTGTTATGCAACCATCACCATCTATGTCCAAAATTTTTCATCACCCCAGGGCGCCTGGGTGGCTCAGTTGGTTAGGTGACTGCCTTCAGCTCGGGTCATGATGCCAGGGTCCTGGGATCGAGTCCCACATCTGGCTCCCCCTGCTCTGCGGGGAGCCTGCTTCTCCGAACTCTGCCTCTTCCTGCCATTCCCCCTGCTTGTGCTCTCTCTCTCTGTCAAATAAATAAATAAAATCTTAAAAAAAAAAAAGACAAAACCAGAATTTTTCATCACCCCAAACTGAAACCCTATACCCATTAAGCAGTAACTCCATTCCCTCCCACCCCAGTCCCTGCTAATCTCTCATCTACTCTGTCTCTGTGGTTTTGCTTCTGCTAGATAATTCATAAAAGTGGAATCATAACAGTATTTGTCCTTTTGTGAGTGTCTTATTTTAGTTATGTTTTCAGATTTCATTTATGTTGTAGCATGCATTAGAACTTCATTCCTTTTTATGATTGAAAAATATTCCATTAATATTCCATGAATATTCCATGTTTATCTATTTATCTGCAGGTGGATACTTGGGGGTTGTTTTGTTTTCACCTTTTGGCTATTGTGAATAATGCTGCCATGAACATTCACATACAAGTATATGTTTGAGTCTGTTTTCAGTTCTTTTGGGTTTATATCTAAGAGTAGGATGGCTGGGTCATATGGTAATTCTGTGTGTAGGTTTTTGAGGAATGGCCAAACTGCTTTCCTCTGGTTACTTTGTAGCTCTCATGAGGTCCTTGGCATAGAAGTTATCTTAAGAATTTTAGAGTAAAGATCAAGAAATGCTATGCAGAAGCAATGCCTAACTCTTCTTAGTAATTTTAGGAAAGAGACAGCTTGGTGAGAGAAAAGAATACTGCTTGGAAGTCAGGTCCTAGTGCCATCTCTATTTTGTGGGGCCTCAATTTTTTCATTGATAAAATAAAGCAATTACATAGGTAATCTCAGAGGTGCCTTACTACAAAATTCTACGTAGGTATATATAATTCTAACTGATTTCGATCAATTAAAAAACCTTGCTGACAAAAAATTTGATAATCAAAGTTTTTATTTGACCTGCTAAAATGCGAAGCTTTGTAAATAGACTGATTCTATATCTAAGTGTTTTGATGGTATATTCCCAAATATTTCAGTGTAAATTAATCATCTGAATAATTTTAGCAAAGTATATAATAATAAACTTGGCTTTCTATTATTCCAAGTATGCTTGAGGAATATTTTCCCACAGTGGAAAATCTGTGAATTAGCATAGAAGTGAACTAGGCAAATGCTGCACATTTAATTGCAAAATAGCTAAATATTAAAAAATTTATTTTATTTTAAATATTTTATTTATTTGAGAGAACACGAGAGCAAGAGAAATTGACAGAATGAGTGAGGGGAGGGGCAGAGGGAGAAGCAGACTCCCTTCAGAGCAGGGAGCCCGATGTGGGACTCGATCCCAGGACCCTGGGATCATGACCTGAGCTGAAGGCAGGCGCTTAACTGACTGAGCCACCCAGGCGCCCCTAAAATTGATGGTACTTTTTTATATATAAATTTAAGTTAGCTGTTCATCTAATCTCATCTTGTGTTAGTGATTTTTCTCTAAAATAAATATATTTATTGCACTTTTATAGACTAGTGGCTTCAGTTAAAAGCATATTACTTTTATGTACTGTCATAATATTGAGTTATTTGTAGTATAGTAGAAAAAGTACTGAATTTATTTTTTTTAAAGCGTTTTTTTTTTTTTAAGATTTTATTTATTTATTTGACAGAGAGCGATACAGCGAGAGAGGGAACACATGCAGAGGGAGTAGGAGAGGGAGAAGCAGGCCTCCCCCTGAGCGGGGAGCCCGATGCGGGGCTCAATCCCAGGACCCTGAGATCATGACCTGAGCCGAAGGCAGATGCTTAACGACTGAGCCACCCAGGCACCCCAAAAGTACTGAATTTAAAACCAAAGGGATTGAGTTAAGAAGCCAGCCTTTTACTAGGTACACTATACATAACCTTGGACAACACACAGCCTGCCTGAAGCTGTGCTTTTTCTTCTATAAAATGGGAGTAATTCCTATCCTATAGAGTTACTGTCATAGTTATGTGAGATAATGTCTGTAAAGTACAGCGTGGTTACCAGAATATCATAGACAATTCATGTAACTGTGATGATTAGTATGCCATCTTGACTCCTGATAAAAACCTGAGCTAGTCCTAGTATAGAAGTATTATCTAATGGCTGGGACGTATGTTCAGCTTTAAATCAAGAGTATGGGTAAAGTCCTCCATTGTAAAACTTAGTTTAGCCATAATCCTGCCTGAGACTTCATAACACAGGCATAGAGCTGTTGGAGAAAAGAGCCACAGATAGTTGTGCTTTGTGTTTTGGGGCCTCCTCCAAAAAGAGAAGAGACTTAACACAATTTGGCAAACAGAGGAAATAGTTTGGCCTTCTAAGTGAGCAACAGGATGAAATATAGCAATACTAGTGCACAGGAGACTTGCAGTAATTAGAAAGTATAGTTTGGTTAATCTACTTCTCAGAGATGTTCATTATTTGCTATGATAAATTACATTTAACTCCTAACCTGGCATTTGTCCTATGTATGTGTGTTGTGTTTTAGCTGTAACAGTTGCTGCTTAAGGTAATGCCTCTGTAGTCTTCTAAAGGAGAAGGTTGAGAAAGCATTTGCCATTTTGGGAAACTGTTGTCCTATCTGAAGCCGTCGTAAGGTTATTGTTTTTGAGTGCATAACATTGGATCTCTGAGCTCTGGAATTACTTAGAGGATGTCTTTTAAAATTTTTATCTTTGAAGAAATGTAGTTTTTTATGTTCCTTCCTCACCTCTATCTAGAAAGGAAGACTGTTGGTAGAAAAGAAATTTTAAACCTGATTTTTAAAGAGATGAAACAATATTGGCTTGGCTTTTCTGCTCGGAAAGCTTCACATTTAACTACTCCACTCATATTCATATTTCATATAAACAAAAAAATGAATGTTTAAATCTTTCTACTTTGTTTAAAGTAAAGCAGATCTAAAGTGGCTGCAGGCAGAATACTGTCCAATTCCAGAAAAACAGTGAATGTATGAGTTTACATCACAAACTCATGTAATTTCAACTTCATATATATATTTGTTTATATATATACACACAGATTTTGTTTTGTTTTTAGAGGGAGAGAGCATGCAAGTCAGGCGGAAGGGCAGAGGGAGAGGGAGAGAGAATCTTAAGCATGGAGTCCAACATGGGGCTTGATCTCAAGACCCAGAGATCATGATCTGAGCCGAAACCAGAGTCACCCAGGCGCCCCATATATATATATATGTTTTATATGACCAATATGGTATGTCTTGGTACCTGAATCTGTGGTATGTATCTCCATATAAGATTGTGTTAGAATCTTGTAAAGAAATTTACCCCAACTTTCTAAGGCAGCCAGCACTGTCTAGAAAGTTGGGCAGAATTTCCAACTTTATTGCTAGTACTATATGCAATAAAGAAACTACTAAGTATCGATGAAAAGAAATTTTCCC